GCCTCTACGTGTTGAGCCTACGTAAGGGCTTCTCCTCAGTGCCGAGGCTCCATCTGGGAGCTGGTCCCTCTTCCGCTGCCCCTCTTGGAGCCGCTTGCTGTGACTCCCCTCCCTTCTCAAGGAGTCGCACCCATGGAGCCAGTGGGGACCCCCCGGTTGTGGCCGTGCTGTGTGGCGTCCGGCTTCATCCGTAGCTGCTGATGGAGAGCAGGCCCCTCTGGCAGGGGGCTGGCCACCCTGCCAGGGCCGCGCGGGAGCCCAGTGGTGACTGGGGACGCTGGCAGGTGAGCAGAACATGGAGGCAACGCTGCCCTTCGGAGAGCTGCCAGGCCTGGCGCCACGGGAGCGAGTCCTGGCCCATCTGCTCCTCTTGGGTTAATTCCGCTTGGGTCAGCCAGGAACAGAGCAGGGAGAAAACCTCTGACTGTGGATGCTCACGCTGGGAAACCAGGTAATGAAATGAGAAATTTTCATTGATGGAAAGAAAAGTTGATGAAAATAGTGGTTTTGAGACAAGCCGTGGGATTGCAGTGTTAAAATCACAGGCGCCATGGGAAGAGTGGAGATGGAGAGTGCGCTCCGCAGTGACACCTTGCTGCCTGCCTTCGAGGGGCTGCTTACCAGGCACTGCCAAATCCCCGTGCATCAGTGAGCCAACTAGCAAAGCTCAAAACGAGCGCTGCTGGGGAGCAGCTGGGTTTGGTAAAACCAAACCAGCAAGCTAAGGAATTACCATGTAAACTCTGAAGGAGATGGAGAAAAAAGAGCATTGTTAGAAATTCTATTTTAGCAACTCAGATTGCAAAGCTCATGCAACCTCATGCAAGGAGAACAAAATTTTGTGTATCTAACTATTGCGATTTAGCATGTTGTTTTTGCAGAGATACTTGTGAATGCACTTTTGGCATCTGTTTCTCGGGTAAACAAGGATTTGTCACTGGGTTGGAATTTAGTGGCTTCATTAGAAATGCCAATTACATTCCTGCAGACTAACGGAGACACTTCTAGCAAGTAATGTATGTATTTAGTGCCTCCAAAGCTGACAGGCACGATGACTCAAAGTAAAAGGTAACATTTAAATAGAAAGTATGTGCATTAGAGTGGGGATCTGTTTAGAAAGCATTTATTAGATGACTGAGAAACCACAGCTGTCAAAGAGGGTAGTTTTAGTTAAATGCTCAATAAGCCTCATTTAGGTAAAGCTGCTATGAGACATAGAAGAATATATAACAAACAGGAAAAAATAAATTCAACACAGATTATATGAAAGGAAAAATGAGAGTTTGAATATACATCAGAAACAAATCCTCAATATTAAATATATCCAACAAGTAGAAATTGCAAGTATTAAAAATATGCTTTGTTTAAGGTTTTTTTTTTGAACTCTTGAGCATTTGGGAAGAAGCAGGATTACTTCATTACTTCTTTGTTAATGAAGAAGGATGCGAGACTAGTAATAAAAAACAAGCATGAATAGAGTGTAAGTAATCAAAACTAGTGGGCAGCACTGCGTCCGGGCGGACAGGCTGTTTTGATGACCCCCTGCGGGCTGACAATTTGTGCAGGGAAGATTTGTGCTTTCTCTGCCATAGAGAGAGATCAGACTCGGAGCAAAGGCGTGGTGGAGCTGGGAATGGGAAGTTCATTCTCACGAATGTCCCTGTGAGCCTCGCCACAAGACACTCGCTGTGTGGGTCTGACCTCGATTATTTTGTGCATCAGATTTGCTCGGTGGAGCACAGGGGGGCTGCTGTGTTGGCTGGTGGCGCTGGGAACCCTTGGCTCTGTTTTGGAGGGCTGTAGGATGACGCATCCTTGCTTGTCGCATGGGAATACGGAGCCGGGGCTCGCAGGCAGCCCAGTGGACACAGCAAGCCCTGCACCAGACCCCATGGAGCGCGCTGTTTCCAAAGGCTCGGGATGGCCCTTCGGCTTAGAGGGGTTGTGGATACCTGGAGCAAAGATCCAAGGGCCCGGGTAGCCTGAACAAGGGCTTCCTTGTGCTTAGACCTAATCCTGCAGCCACCAGATAGACAGTTAGGGATAAATCTGAGACCACAGCAGGATCCTGTAGCAACCTCTGAGATACCCAGCACGGGTGTCCTGCACAATCTGTCGCCTCAGTGGCTGTCACGGTGCATGTGGATTAGTGCAAAATACTCCTCTTTGGTCCTGGCAAATTTCAGCTTTCCCACTGGTCTTCACTAGTGCTGCTGCTTAGTTCATTTCTGGCTGCTGTTGAACACAGGGCTTTGTTTTCCAGCTTCTTCATTGACTACTCCATTTTCTTCTCGATCTCACTCAATACTGCGCTATCAGCTCGCCCACCCACCCTTGCATGGTTTTCACACACTTGTTTACATTTCAGATTAACACCTTTTTGTTCCTTCCATGCTTCCTGCTTGAGTTTGCTTCCCTGCAAAAAAAAAAAAGAAAAAATCCTTTCAAAGAAAAAGGTCCTCCTTTAAAATAATTCTGTTTGTTATTTCTGTCTCTTAACTTTTTATAAGCTACCTGCTGCAGAGACCTGCTGGCCATATTAGCTTAGCATATCCTTTCCCTCTCTGTCCGTCTGGATCTGTCTTGCCACCTCTGCGGACTTCAAGTGCGATGTCTCCGGTGGGATATCCTTGTGTGCTTGCAGAGGACCTTGCACAGTCGGGCCTGGTCCATGATTAAGGCCTTGCAGATGCTGTGGAAATGCACACGGTAAATATTAAACCCAACATCTGCTCCCAGGACCCTCCTCACAGAATCTGTCTTCCATTTGCACTGATAAAACTCCTGGTGTGGAGGCTTCTCTGGTGGGGAGTCAAGGTAGCTATTGAGTCTCTTGAAAGCAGGAGCCTTGTCTTATACAGAATGACCCTGTGAGTGATATTTTAATGGGCAGTTAACACTAGGAATTGGTGAAGTCTGCTCTTCGTACCTGCAGTAATTGCTCACTAAATGTAGTGCTAGTGGCGCTGCTAAATCCTGCCCCGCAGAGCTGGCCCCTTTGCCGCTGCCCAGGCCCCGTTTCAGGGCGTCGCGGACCAAAGCGTGGAGGCCCAGGGCAGGAGCCGGCGCTGCCTTTGACGCCAGCCCGGCATGGCCGAGGGCCGGTCCACAGGCCCGCGCGTTCCCGGAGCCGGAGGCAAAGCTGGCTCCCTTGGCACGGAGCGGGCCCTGGCGCCTGGGGCTGGGCTGGGGAGGTGGCAAGCGGGAAGCGCCTGTCCCACAGCAGCGCTGGTGGGAATAGGGGAGCCTGGGAACCCACAGCGGGAGCGGACCGGTTCCGGGGCCCGTGTGCCCGAGGTGGGATGTGGCAGCGAGGGGCCACCGGGCCCAGCAGCCCTTCCACAGAGCAGCAGTGAGCATGGGAGGCTGCGATGAACCGGCCTCCAGGCCTGCGTGCCAGGCCTGCCTCGAGCAGCCGCAGCAGCCAGGGACGTGGGGCTGAGCAGGGAGGCGAGGGAGGGGGCCCATGCGGCTCCTTTTAAAAGCGGGCAGGTGGGGTAGAGAGTTGCTGAGGCCCAGGAATCTGGAGGGGTAAAATGTCTGTGAACCTGAATGAAAATTGGAGGGGGCTGGGCTGGCCTGGGAGCCGCAGGTGGGACGGAAAACCAGGAGGAAAATGGGCTGCCCAAGCCTGGGATAGGGAAGAGGCAGCTGGCGAGCTCCATTTACTTGAGGCCGCGGCCGGGGCAGCTTCTCGCCCTGTGTCGCGCTGCCCTCGTCGCAGCCAGCAAGGCGCAGCTGCTGTGCTTGGGACCGGGGCTCCTTGGCGCCCCAGGGCCGGTGCATGGCGGCGTCTCCGTCCTCACAGGGTGCATCCAGCCAGCCCTGCACCTCTGCCTTGCCCTGCCTCTGTGTGCACGTGTCTGTGCCCTCCGCGTGCGTGTTGGTGCCCGTGCCTGCCTCGCTCACCCCCACTGTCTGCTTTTCCAGCTCCCGGGGGCTCTACCACGGACTCATCCGTGGCAACGGCAGGGGCAGTGGCCAGCGCTGCTCGGCGCTGTGTGCAGGGGAGCTGAGCGTCTCGCCAGCGCTCCAGCTCCAGGCTTTGCATCCGCCAGCCCCTGCGCCTGAGGAGGCCTCTGGCTATTCACATGGAAATGTCCTGGAGCTGGAGCCTGGAGACCCCAGCCGAGGGGAGGGAGGGCTGCAGCTCCGCCATAGCTGGCCCTGCAGGTAGGGAGCTCCAGCCACTCGGCTCGGGCTGCTCTGGGGAGAGGGGAGCAGGGCCCTGTCCGTGGGGCTGAGCACAGCGCGGGGCTGCAGGTGCAGCAGAGTTTGGGCACAGGGCAGGAGGGGATGGGGTGCGTCCCCAGGGCTGGGACGTGTCCCCAGCGCTGGGTGAGGGCCTTGGCGGCCTCTGGGAGGAGGGACAGGCTGAATGCTCTCCCTGCTCCTCACAGAGCACCAGCGGGTCTGAGCTGCCCAGCTTGCCCCTGCCCTGCCTGGGCTGGCATCCAGCTGGCCATGTCTGGGCTGGGTCTACAAGCTGCAGGCCTGGAGCAGGGTTCTGCAGCTTAGTGTCTGCAGCCCCTAATCCCGGCTGCAGCAGAGAAGTGCTCAATGGCTGGTGAAGGACTTGGACTGCTGCAGCAGCCCTCTGCCCCTTTCCCATGGCCAAGGGAGCTGGAAGTGCCCCAGGCTCCTGGCAGCTGGTGCTCAGAGGGCAGGAGTCACAGGCATCCCTGCAAACTGTCCCTGTCCCTGCAGTGCTGGGGACCCTGCTGCAAGTGCTGGGGGCTGAGGGCAGCCAGTGGAGCAGGGCAGAGCCCCTGCACTCTGGGGCTTGCTAGAACACAGCAGGGAGAGGGAGAGCCCAGCATGGCTTCTCCAAAAGGGTCCTTGGATAGAGCAGTCCTGCTGGCGCTGCTTGCTGGCCAGGGTCCTGGGTAGTTCCATGGGTTGAGGGTGGCACAGTCCCAGTTTTGTGTGTCTCCTCCTTGCATGCAAGGATCAGGCCAGGTATCCCTGGAGGATGCTGATCTCGCCTATCTGTCTTGCAGAGATGACCCTCCTCTCATCCCAGACACCATCCCTGGATACTTCCTCGACTGCTACTGAGAGCCCAGAACAAAGGATGCTGGAGAAGAGGTCCAAAGTTATTGAGGAACTGCTCCAGACAGAGCGAGACTATGTCCGAGACCTGGAGATGTGTGTGGAGAGGATCATGGTGCCCCTGCAGCAGGCGCAGGTAGGAGCATGGGGACAGGCTGCAGTGTTACATTGGCAGGATGGAGTGAGGATACTGAGTCCATTTTGTTGAAGGTAGCTAAAATGGGCATGGAAACCCACACAGGAAATTCAGCTACATCCAGGGGAGCAGGAGGGCTCCTTGCAACCAAGGGGTTATCTCACCTCTTTTGGGAACCTGCTGAGGTCTTGCTGCTAATATCTGGCAGCAAGTATAGCAGGCAGGTTTTCTAGGGTGGGAAGTGTTGTTCCTCCTCATTTGTTTGAGGTTAAGTTTATTGTTAAGAGAAAGAAAATAAGAGTCTTGGCATGGGAGCAAAGCTGCTAGGAGGAGAGGGAGAATGTCAGGTCATCAGAGGCAGGGGTGAATTTTGAGGGGAAAGGGGAGATACGTCAGTGACAACATGTTTGGTGGGACACATAAGGAATGAGAGTTTTGGTGCACAGAGGAGTAAGGGAGTGAGTACAGAGCTGCTGTGGTGAGTGGCTATGGGGTGTGGAGGGTTGATGGGTTGCAAGAAGGTGAAGCAGGGGCTCCTGGAGGTGGTGGGACATGTTCTCTTAACCCCTGTCTCTCTATTCCCCTTTCCCAGATGCCAAATATAGACTTTGAAGGTCTTTTTGGAAACATACAGATGGTAATCACCTTCTCCAAAGAGCTGTTGACAACCTTGGAGGCTTCAGATGCCATTGGTATGAATTCTACTGTTCTTTCTTCTCAACAGGCTGCAAAGGCTTTTGCAAGTGGGGTGGAGAGGAGCAGAATGGTTTAAATGGTGAAAAAGGGTCACTAGGACAGAGCCCAGAACAATGTTTCCTCTCTGCTGTTTCGTGTCAGAGTTCCTTAGTCCTGCAATGGAGCCATGGAGATCTCTGTTGTCCCTTGGGCTTCTGTGCTGCCCTTGCTACAATGGGATGCCCATTCCCTCACACGTGAGCCACCAGCTTTCACTGTTCAGGCCATGGGCAGTGTGGGGGGCTCCCTGTTCACATTGCTAGTGAGCAGTTTCTCTGCTCTCCACCCCTTGGAGAGTTGGATTAACCTAGGCCACTGTGCTAGCAGTTCTCCGGGGGCCTTGTGGGACTCTTTGACTAAGTAAATAGTCTCCTCAAAGCATGAGTAAACACATCCCGATGAGCAGCTGTGACATTCCCTTGGCTTCAGCCCACAACATCTCCTTGCTGTGGCAAACCTTTGGTGCACAGCTTAAAATTTGTGTCCTGAGTGCCCACAGTGCCCAGTCTGCAGCTGCAGGGAAGCAGGAAGGACATGAGAGTGTGCTGATCGAGATTAAGAGGGATCCTGGATCCTCCTGAGAGACGGACTCTCAGCATCTCCCAGTGGGATACACTGGGATTGCTGAAGGTAGTGAAGGGTCCAAGAGATGCTGAAGTCTCTCTTTGCTACCCTGTGCAGGGCCAGTATTCCTGTCACGCCGTGCAGAGCTGGAGGCCGTCTACAAGGTGTATTGTCAGAACCACGATGAGGCCATCGCACTTCTGGAAGCCTATGAGAAGGATGAGAAGATTCAGAGATTACTTCCGGACCTGCTGGATAGCCTCAGGTTGGAGTCTCTGGCTGAGATGGCCACCAGGCTGGGGTGGGGGATCAGCCTCCAGCATCCCGGCCAGCCATACTGTGGCAGTTCAGATGGTGGCAGGAGAGGGACAGGCTGTGTTCCTGGTGTGGCATTGCATAGATGACCAGGCTCTGGTTCAACTAGAAGGGACCTGTCTTGAGCAATGCCCCTCTGCTCCAGTACATATGGTCTGGGACAGCTGTAGCCCAGCCTTAAATGCCAGGTAGAAGCCACCAAGATTTGAAAAACACCGTGTGTCCTGGGTCTAGGGTTCCTACTCCCTAAGCCCTACTGCACCGCAGTGAGGAACAGGCCGCTCAGCAAACTCCAGGGCTCAGCTTGTGGAGGTCCATGCCCAGGGACAGGGCAGCACCAGCTCTGTCTGTCCACTGTGTTGGCAGCGTCACTGCAGGATGGGGTGAAGGCACCAGCTGCGGGGTCGCACGCCTACCACCCTGTTAACCAGTTGCTTTTCTTTGCTTTTTGGCACTCTGTGGGCCGGCAGGAGCCTGTACAGTGAGTGGTAAGTGACTCATTCCTGTTGGTCCCAGCTTGCCTGTCCCGACCTGGCTGCTCCCTTATAACTAACATTTCACCACCAGCTGTGTGCATGTCTGGGGGGCCTAACAGTACCCTGTGGGTCTGAGGAGGAGCATGGATGAGTTTGCGACAGGCAAGAAATGGGCTGCACAGACAGGGAGTACTTGGCAGATCATGAGGCAAGATAGGATGTCCTGTGCAGAAGAAAGGTTTAGGAAGCCATCAGTCCCTAGGAAAGCCATGTGCAGGCTGAAGTCCTGACCTCAGCCAGCCTGTTCTGCAATGCAGGTCAGGTCAGAGATATTAGCATAGACCAGGGTGGTGGGATGGGGCCTGAGGCGAGTGGAGCTCTGGTAAGTTCAAGGCTGCGCCCTTGGGGAGTTTCATTATGAGAGCAGTGGCAGCCTGGCCAGGAAAGGTCACTTTGGATTTCAGATGTCTAGAAAGCTTGGGACTAGCTTGAGATCTTGTAGGTTCAGGTGTGCAACAGGTTGGAGATGACAGTGCAGTTGCTTAGGAATTTAGACATACTGGTGCTCTGGGTCTGGTTGGGGTTGATTTAAGAGGGCAGGAGTGGTTTTGCAGAGCTGGACTGAAACCTGCTGCATCTCCTTTGTCCCACTTTTCCAGGGGCTGCACAAACTACATTAACTTGGGCTCATTCCTCATCAAGCCAGTGCAAAGGGTGATGCGGTACCCGCTGCTTCTGATGGAGCTGCTGAATGCCACCCCTGAGTCTCACCCTGACAAAGCCCCACTCACAGCTGCTGTCCTCGCAGTCAAGGAAATCAACGTGAACATCAACGAATACAAGCGCCGGAAGGACCTGGGTGCGTAGCTGGGGAGAGATGGGGAGCAAGGCATGGGAGTGGGTGTGTTGAAATGGGAGTCTGTCATCTGCAGAGCGTTAGCTGGCAACCACACTGGTGTGTCTTCACAGCAGAATATTAAAGGAAGTACATTTAGAAATTTAAATATGAGAGACAGTACACCAAGAGCAGTGTAGTACAGATATGACATGACTTTCTTGTTCTATAGTGATAAGAAATGTATGCAATTGCTGATCATGTGCCTACCAATAAAAACAAAATTGTTAAGACAAAATAATAGATAGTTAAAGTGCTTCAAAATGCTATTTTGAAGAACATACGTAGGCAATTAATCTTTTAGGGCAGTTTCTGTCTTTCTGAGGTTTAGAATCTAGGCTTGAAGGAGTATCTGTAGGCAAAACAGAATCACAGACACACTGGCTAGAAGGGTCCTCTGAGGTTTCCAGTCTGACCTTCTGCTCCCAGCACCATTATCCCCAACACTTGATCTGATCACCCATTGCCTTCTCCGGGCAAGTATTGCTGACCGCCAAGGATGGAGATTTTACAGTCTCTTGGCCTCTTCAAGGACTGTACCACCATTCCAGTGAGGAGGTGCTCTCTTTGTCCACCCTCAGCCTCCAAGCTGCCATCTGCAGACGCTGGCACTTTTATTGCCTGGCGCTGCTGTAGCCTCCCCAGGACTGAAAGGAGAGCAGAATGATTTCCCTCAGCCTGCTGGCCACCATCTTCTTTTCCCCTTCACTTTTCCCTTGGCAGCCCCTGACTCTGTCTCTTGTGTCACCCTTTCCCCACCGCCCCAATAAACACAGAGATGACATAGGCTGTAATGATTACTCATATTTGCTAAACAAATTATATAAATACCTTGTGTACCTTCAATGGTTATTGTATGCCACCTCCCATGTTATCTTATGCTAGTGCTACACACATTTCTGCTGAAGGAGTTTGAGTGGATGAATCTGCAAACTGCTGGGAAGATCAAGAGCCAAGCAGAGGCATTACAGGTGGCAAACACAGTGCTGGTTTGCAGAGACGATGTGAAACATGGGGCACTTGGGGCTACAGAGGCTTAGAAGGACGAGGAGAGATACCATAAGCACCACAGGCATTGGGCTGGTGAGAGTTCTGATTTCTACATCAATCTCTTTAGTGCTAAAGTACCGGAAAGGGGATGAGGACAGCCTCATGGAAAAGATCTCCAAGCTCAACTTCCATTCCATCATCAAGAAATCCAACCGTGTGAGCAGCCATCTCAAGCATCTCACAGGCTTTGCCCCCCAGGTAACACACATCAATGGGACTTACACTCTGTGGTGCTTGAGGAGATGGCAGGACCCTCTCTGTCATCCCTTCCCTGAGGAGTACCTCAGATCTGGGTCAGGGCAGAGAGAGCCGGGGCCCTGAGCCACCTGACTCTGCTGTCTAGCTGGTGGGCAAGAGGCCCCGCATCCTGCACTCTGGGAGGTGCCAGCGCTCTGCGTTGCCTCCCTTGAGCCATTTCCTTTCACAGCTGAAGGATGAGGCCTTTGAGGAGACAGAGAAAAATTTCCGGATGCAGGAGCGGCTGATCAAGTCCTTCATCCGGGACCTTTCCCTCTACCTGCAGCACGTCCGGGTGAGTCTGTCTGGGTGTGATGTTTGTGGGTCTCACTGTGTGCTCTGCTCCAGCTGGTAGAGCTCCTTCCCACGGCCCTGCCTGGGGTCTTCTCTGCCCCAGCGTGCGCTGGGGAGGTCCTCCCTTTGCCCCCCAGTCTCCTGGGCACCAGTGTGGCTGTGCTGACCGTGTGCCTTTGGTGCAGGAGTCAGCCTGCATGAAGGCGCTGGCAGCGGTGAGCATGCGGGACCTGTGCACAGAGAAAGGCGGTGGGGACCTGGACCAGTTCCAGAAAGTGAATCGTCTCATCAGTGACCAGCTCTTCTCCAGCTTTGTGAGTGAGCCTGTACCCTTGCACGCTGGAGTCTCCCCTGGGGGCCCTCTCTGCAGGCCTCAGCAGAAGAGCCCTGCTGACCATGGGATGCTGCAGGGAGCATGGCACAGCCTGGGAGAGGTGTCAGCACCTTCCTATCTCCATTCAACTCTTCTGCTCCTGAAAGCTTTGATGCTTGTGGGCTTGTGTGGAGCACTGAGCTTCCCTTGTTAGGCACACATTTTTTCAGCCTACCAGAAGGGGCATAGCAAGTGATTTACATCTCTCCCAGAGGGTGGCATATTTACATGGGATTATGGAGTGGTAGATATGGAGAGACCTGGAGTTCTGTTGAGCAGTATCTAGAAAAAGGACCCTGTGCTGTCCTGGGAGTCTTGTGTTTCAGGGCACGCAAGCTGTGGGTGTTCATGGCAGGGCAGGGGAGAGTGGGTGTCTGGAGCAGCTTATTTCACCTGTTCCCTGTATCTCTGTCCACTAGAAAGAGCGGACGGAGCGGCTAGTGACCTCACCCCTGAACCAGCTGCTGAGCATGTTTGTGGGGCCACACAAGCTTGTGCAGAAGCGCTTCGACAAGCTCCTCGACTTCCACAACTGCACGGAGCGAGCGGAGAAGCTGAAGGACAAACGAACGCTGGAGGAGCTGCAGTCGGCCCGCAACAACTACGAGGCCCTCAACGCACAGCTGCTGGACGAGCTGCCCAAGTTCCAGCGCCTCGCCAAGGAGCTCTTTGCCAGCTGCCTGCAGGGCTATGCCGAGGCTCACTGCGACTTCGTGCGCCTGGCCCTGGAGGAACTGAGGCCCTTGCTCTCGGTGGGTTCCCGGAGCACGGCTAGCATGCCACTTGCTGCAGCACTGCTCGCTGTGTAGGGCCTGTCCTGAGACTCTCTGGGATCCATCCCTTTGCAGGAGAAGCTGCTGCTGCTGCAGTTTCAGGCTCTGAGTGCCTCAGGGAGGCTCTTGTGGGCTGCTCGCAGGCAGGGATTGCCTGGTAGGTGCTCTAGTGTTTAGAGGTGTTGCAGATGAGACTCATTAGCTGGCTGCTCCTGCAGCAGTGGCAAGTGGCATTTGCCAATAGAAGATTCTCAGGACATGAGTTTGGGGATCACTTAGAGCTGGTCCTTACAGTGCTGCAAATCCAGCCCTGGCAAAAGTCACAGCAGCGCCCAGAACCCTGCTTGGCCTGGGAGCTGGCATGGTCTCTGCTGTAGCCTCAGCTGATTTTGCCAGTGGCCATCACCTAACCGTGATGCCAACCCTGCTCTGTTTGCAGTTGCTGAAGGTGGCCGGCAGGGAGGGGAACCTCATTGCCATCTTCCAGGAAGAGCATGCTCGAGTCCTCCAGCAGCTGCAGGCCTTCACCTTCTTCCCAGAGTCCCAGGCAGCTCCCAAGAAGCCCTTTGAGAGGAAGACTGTGGAGCGTCAGTCTGCTCGGCGGCAGCCTCTCATTGGCTTGGTGAGTCCCCTCTGCCTCATGTTGGGGCTTGCTGGTGAGATGGGACAACCCTTTACAAGTGCCTTGTTCCTTTCCAGCCCAGCTACCTCCTGCAGTCAGATGACATCCGAGCTGCCCTGCTGGGCCGCTATCCCCCAGACAGTCTCTTCCAGGCAGACCGCAATTTCAATGCTGCCCAAGACCTTGATGTCTCGCTGCTGGAGGGAGACCTCGTGGGTGTCATCAAGAAGAAAGACCCGATGGGCAGCCAGAATCGCTGGCTCATAGACAACGGGGGTAGGTGGTCCTGGTCTGCCGGCCCCTGGGGCAGGACCCTCGCTGCCCTCGGCCAGGGAGCTAGAGGCTCTGGCCCTGCCGTGCCTCCTTTCCTGAGGTCTCTTCTGCTTCCTGAGCTGAGCTCCCTTCTCCCTCTCTGCAGTGACCAAAGGCTTTGTGTACAGCTCCTTCCTGAAGCCCTACAACCCACGCCGCAGCCAGTCGGACGTCTCCGTGGGCAGTCACTCTTCCAACGAGTCTGAGCACAGCAGCACCTCTCCCCACACCACCACCACGCTGACCTTCAGCCCCAGCGGGGCAGCCGTGACCTTCACTCAGAAACCCCAGCAGGACTCTGCCTCCCCGGCAGACCTGTACCAGTCTCCGCAGTCCCCCTCGGAGATGGACTCACCTTGCCAGCCCCAGCTTGGCTCTAGTGACAGGATGGTGCCTCTGGAAGCTGGTACAGTGACGTCTCAGCGCCGCCACAGCCGCCCTGAGCCGGGCGGTGGCCCCAGCCCTCGCAACAGACACCCCACCAAAGCACATCTCAGGCCTGCGCTCTCTGTGGAGGACAGAGACTCTGGGCTGGAGAGCAGCGAGTCAGAGGGCAACCAGGTGAGCTTTCAACTGAACAGGGAGCTCTGGTGTGGGCTGAACCCCACGCTTGAGTGGGGGGCTGAGCCATCTTCCTCCCTGAAAGTTATTGGTGAGGGGCTATGAGGTGTCCAAAGGCAGAAGGTGGCACCTTTGCTTGCAGGGATGGATATGCAGATACAAAAAATTAGACTGTGAATGGACAGTTTGGGCTGGCATTGATAGAGGCCAGGATGAGAGGGGCTTGGGGCCGTCCCTGTTGGGACAAGGGAGTACTGCCCATGTGTCCCGTGGTGTGACAGGGGGGCCCTGCTCAGTGCCTTGAGATGCACTGGCCATCTCACTCACTCCTTCCTTCTGTCCGGCAGGTCTACTACGCGCTCTACACTTTCAGAGGCCGAAACGCCAATGAACTGAGTGTGTCAGCTAACCAGAGACTCAGGATCCTGCAGTTTGAGGACATCACAGGCAATCGAGAGTGGTGGCTGGCCGAGGCGCACGGGAAGCAGGGCTACGTGCCCTCCAGCTACATCCGAAAGACAGAGTACACATAAGGGCAGGAGCCTGCACCCCGTGCCTTGTTCCTGCTGGGACAGCTGGGGCGCAGGGAGACTGGCCAGCCCTGTGGGGTGCCTCAGCCTGCCCTGCTCGCCCCGAGGGGTCCCGGCTGCGTCCCTCGCAGCCCCACAGTGCTCCCAAGCCCTGCTGCACTGGCTGCCAAGGGCAGGGTCAAGTTGCCTTCACCCTGGGCTGCTTGCTGGGTCCGGCTGGTAGCAGGTGAGCATAATGTGGGACTGTGATGCAAGAGGAAATAGCTTCACCGAGGCTGAAGAGCTGCTGTGGGTTTCATGTGTGAAAGTCTGGTTTTGAGTTTCCAGGGTCTGCCCAAAGACAAATAGTGTTAAAAGAAACCTGGGCCCTGTGAACAGGGTTTCTGTGGGCATCTCGGCAGCAGGAGCCTGGTTGAGCCTGTCTGTGCAGGATGGCAGAGTGGGGCATGTTTGCTCAACCCGGAGTAGTTGCTGGGAGAAGTTCAGCTCCAAGACCCAGCAGCCCACAGCAGAGCCCCACACCGTGTTGCGTTTGCCTCCTTGGGCTCCCTGGACTGGGGCCTCTCCTGGCTCCCGGGCAGCAGCCGCCCTTGCGTCCCGGTCTCCCTGGTGAGCCGAAGGCCTCAATACCATCTTCGTTAGCACTGCATCATTTGCAGGGAAACACTGAGACAGGGCAGAAAGCAAAGAGCGGGCTCTGTCCTGCAGCCTGATGTTGCTCAGGCTCTGAGCAGGACTCCGTCGTGCCTGCACTTGCTGCAGGGCTCCGGCAATGGTGCTTGTGTTCTGGGAGGGCACCAAGGAGATGCACTGCCCCATGCTGGGGTGGTATCTGCCCTCTGCTGCATTGCCTTGGAGGTAGGATGCTCCCTCCTTGTGAGGGCAGGAGTGTTTGTGTCCTCTGTACTGCTGCTCTGTAAATAAAGATTTGCCCTTGTGTATAGGAAGTGCCTGTACAAGCATGAGGAAGAGGGGAAGGGGGGCCTGGCAGAGCCTGCAGGGGCTGGGGTGAGTCCCAGCCTTTCCGTTGAGTCCTGCACCAGCTGCAGCTCAGGCACTAGGAGCCCTCACCAGACTAATCGTGGATATGCTGCACTGCCCTGTCGCCAGGCTCTGTGTTAAATGCTGTGGCTGGGGCCATGAGAGGCAGGTGTCCTTCCTGCCACCAACTATAGTGAAGCGTTCAGCTCTGCTGTAACTGCCTGTGTGGGGAGGTGACATTGCCTGCCAGCACAGGTGTCGTGCCGGCCCGGAGACCCAGGACGGAGAAGGATGGACCAGGAGCATGTCAACAGTAACCGTATGTGTGTGTGCACACATGTCCATGGTGTAGTGTGTGTGCACATCCATGCGGTGCTGTGTGTGCACATATGTACATGATGGTGTAGCCTGTGTGTGTGTCTGCGTCTCCCGCAGCTCGTCTGCACTCCAGCCAGGTTTGCAGTCTGGCCTCACAGCCACACCACTGCTCAGGTTGTGGTTCCAGGGCTGCCTCAGGCATCTGCGGTACCACGAAAGGCAGGTGCAGCCATAAGGAATACAGGGAGGCCTGATTCCTGCCTCCTCCACCTGCACTGCCAGCAAGAAGCTTTGCCTGCACCTTGCAGCCCTATGAATATTTTTGCTGGCACGATAGGGGTTCTTCATTGCACATAAGCCAGCTGCCATCTGTGGCTACAGTGTGGGGGTTTGGGGCTCTCCTTGGGTCCCAGAGTGATAGTAAGACCGTTCTATTTTCCTTGCAGAGAGGGAGCGTGGCTGTGAGGGCACCCACAGGCACACAAGTGCACACAGGCAGCAGAGGCTCAGACCTGCTTGTGCTGCTCACTAGCCTTGCGCGTCTGCGCAGGCTGGGGGTGCTGCGTTCCCCCAAGTGCTGGAATGGTGGTGAAGCTAAACAGAGGCATATTTAACATGCCTAAAGACAGGCTTTTATTTGGAAGGCTAGAAACATTTACAAAAAGAAAAAAAAAATTAACATTCGCTCTTAGATTACACTGTAAATTTCATTCTATAGTGCTACGGTATCTCTCAGTGAAGTTCTCAAACATGGTACAAAAACTAAGATCCCAAGGAGGCTACATCTCCATCTGATGCACAACTTTCCCCTTGGTGTCAAAATAAATTAAGCAGTGTCTGCAGGCCCTGGTGCGCGGCAGGCAGCGTAGCAGCAAGGTCAGCGGCTCAGCCTGGCCCCGTGCTCTGTCGCTGCCAGCCAGGGAGCCGGCCCTGCCCTCGCGTCCCCGCTGCAGGGACAAGTGCTGCAGGGCGCCCGGCAGCCGCTCGGGAGCCCCGCGGGAGGCAGCCGAGTGAGCGCGCGCTCCTACAGCCGCCTACAGCGCGGTGGTTTGCGCGCTCACGATGCCGGCATCCTTCGCCATCGAGGAGAAGATGCCCTCTCTCTGCAGCAGTTCCTCGGGGCTGTCGAATTCCATGATCCTGCCCGCCTGCAGCACCATCACCCTGGCAGGAGGGAGTGAGGACGCGTGAGCTCTGGGGATCGGCAGCACCAGCCCTGCTGCTGCTCCCGCTCCTACAACGGGGCTGCATGCTTCGCAGCCCAGCAGAGACAGGAGGGCCCAGGCTCATGAGCTCCTGGCCGGGGTTGTCAATAAATACTCCATGGCTTTGTGCTCTTAAGAGGCAGGATTCCCAAAACATGTTTCTCCCCACAAAGACCTAAGCAATGCCCGGCCACCCCTCCCCTCTTCTATTCTTCTCCCCTGGCAGCTCTGCGGTTTGTTTTCCTTGGCACTGCACCCAGCCCTGCGCTCTGGCTGTGTCCTTGCCTCTGGTGTCAGCCACCTCTTGCCCCATCCCAGGAATCCAGAGGCCCATTTACCCCCGACCCCGCACTACCTGCTGCTGTCCATGATGGTGTGGAGGCGGTGGGCAATGGTGAGGACGGTGCAGTTAGCAAACTCGCTCCGGATCGTTGTCTGGATTAAATGATCCGTTTCCAGATCCACGGCTGCAGTTGCCTCATCCAGGATGAGGATCTTGGCTTTGCGGAGAAGGGCCCGGGCCAGGCACACGAGCTGCCTCTGCCCCACACTGCAGTGAGGAGGGGAACGTGAGTTAGGAAGGGAATGAGGTGCTGACAGCAGCAGGGAGCCTGCAGGCCCAGCTCTGCATCTCTCACTCCCACCTCAGCTCACCTAAAGATCTGCCACCCCAAGCACCCCATCCCTGGTCCTGGACCCCCAGTGAAAGGTTGGCTCGTGCTGGCCCCACTGCAGCAAGGACTAGCCCTGACTCCTGGCTGATTTCTTTCCCTCACATTCAGTCCCCAAAGCTTCTGCGCTTGTCTCGGATGAAGCTGCTCTGAGGCCTCTCTCCCCACCAGGGCCAGTTTAGCCTTGGGGCCCATGAAAGGGATGGGAGCTGGGCCTGCCCAGCTGCTCTGCTCACCTCAGGTTTTCTCCTCCTTCACTCACACGATGCAGCAGCTTCTCGGGCAGCTCTTGCACATATGTCTTCAGGTGAGCCAGTTCCAGGGCCTTCCAGACCTCCTCATCTGAGTACTGGTCAAACGGGTCCAGGTTCATCCGCAGGGTCCCAGAGAAGAGCACGGGGTCCTGCCAGGGACAGCACAGCATGTTCCTCCGTGCAGATCACAGCCATTCAGCCGGGAAGCCCAGCTCTGCCCCACAGCTGCCACATGCTCCTATGCTCGGCCAAAACAAATAGCCTGGGGAGGCCATAGAGCAGTGGGACATGGGGAGGCTGGACCTAGCTCACCTGGGGGATGATGGTGAGATTCTGGCGCAGGTCGTGGAGGCCAATCGTGGAAATATCCAAGCCATCAATGACGATCTTCCCTCCAGCAGCCTCCAGCACTCGGAAGAGGCAGTTGGTGAGGGAGGATTTCCCTGCCCCGGTGCGGCCCACAACTCCAACCTGTGGAAGGAGCTATTTAGACCAGCAGCAGGAGCTGAAGAAAACAGGGCAGGGGCTCTCCTGCAGCCAGGAGCTAAGAAAGCAGGAACCCCTTTAACAGGGGGCTGCTAGGGAAGGGGTGTCGCAAGGGCAGCTCACCTTCTCGGTGCTCCTGATATCGCACGTGATCCCCTGAAGAACCAGCTCCAGTTCAGGTCGGTAACGAACTTTGTAGTCAATGAACTGGATCTCACCTTTGCTGGGCCAGCCACGAGGTGGGCGCTTCTCTGTCACCCACGGAGCCTGGAGGCACAACAGCGTTAGGGGTGTGTGCCCTGCAATGCTGGCTAGCACCGAGCTGCTCGCCCCAACCGTGATCTCCTCACCTCGTTTTTCACTGTCGTGTACTCGTGGATCCGCTCCACGGCCACAATGTTTGTTTCCAGCTCTGAAGACATCCGCACCAGCCAGTTCAGTGTCTGGGTCACCTGTGGGCAGAGCCCAGAGGATGCAGAGCTCAGTGAGACCCTGCGAGAAAGAGCTCTCCCCGCTCAGCTCAAGGATCCCTGCTGGCCATGAGCACCCCTGACGTAAAAGGGCTCCCCCTTTCTTCAGTCCTTGGAAAGCTTTCAGGCAGCACCAGAGGCCCAGAGGCCGAGTGCTCTTCCCCTGCTCCATTCCAGCTTCCCAGGCGATCCCTTCCCTACGAGGGACCATCCCAGCTGGCGCCACCGCTCTGTTTCAGAGCAGGCTGCGGCAGGACACAGCCAGACCGGAGCTGTCGGAGCTCTGCTTCCACACAGCCCAGCTTGCAAGGAGAGCTCTTGCTGACTCACGTTGAGGGCAGAGGAGATGGAAAGGCCCACAATGCCGCCCTCCAAAGTGCCCTTGGAGATCACGGCTAGAAGTGCGGAAAAGAAAACCACGAGGCTCCCGACGAGCTCCAGACGGACGGCCAGCCACCTGCACCAGGAAAGCACAGCTGTGGTGAAAAGCAGCAGGAGAAGCATTTGCCTGCACCCAGCGCAGGAAGAGCACATCATCCTTTCTGGGCACCAGGAGCAGCCACTAGCAGGACCAGCACCACACCAGCAACCCTGACTGTCTAGCCCAGAACCTGCCACTGGCACCAGCGCCTGTGTAGCAGATCTGTAATCAGTTCTGCAAGCAGTTCCATTGTAGTCTGACAAGATTATGTTAAAACAGTTCTGTGTTTCTCCCTTAAGGATCTCAATTATTCCTGTTCCAGGAGAGTCATCCATCCCAGTCTTTCCTGATCAGTCTCCTCAAGTCGTCTTGCAGCACCTCATCCCAACAACTCTCACACTCTTGTGGTTCCCATTAACTCACCCCTTGCTACTCCCCAAGTGAACCATTTCCACACTGCTCCTGTGTCTAGGCCTGCTCCTGTTCTCTCTCCATGTCTTTTTCTGTTATCTGTTCTGTATGTCACCCTGCGCATTCTGTATACCCAATACTATTCCATGCTTGATTGGCCTTCTGGTTAGTCCCTGTGCCTCACATGTAACCTCCTGTGCTGGTAACTACCCATATCAGAGTAACTCAAAATGGTACAAATGTCACGAGCATAAAACATCTACCCAGTAACACAGCCCTTTGCTAACCCAGCCTTTGCCATGGCATAAGGAACAAACTCACCTATTGGAGACTATCCAGGAATAAACACTTTTCTGGTTGGTGTCCACAGTGTTCTCATTGTGCTGCAGGAACCGCTCCTGGTGTCCATAGGCCCGGATCACAGACAGGCCTGATACTGTCTCACCGAAGTGGGAATAGATAGGAGACCTAGTAACAGAGTCCAGACGCCGTAGCTGGCGTGACGTGGAGACATAGAAGCGCTGTAACAAGGGAGAGAGTTCTGTTACCAACACAAAGCTCGGCAGGGACAAAGATAAAAGTCAGAATCCTCCTGCGGTTACTCACCAGCACAAAATAGTAGAAGATGCCTAATGGAATGATAATAAGGGCGAAGAACGGGGTGGCCAAGGAGATCATGAGCAATGTGCTGATGATGCCCATGAAACAGGACAGCCAGCTACGGAAGGACATGGGGATGGTCTCATCTATGGTGAAGATGTCCTGAAGCATACAAAGAAACAGTCAGTGACGCTAGGCAGAGGGAAAAGCACAGAGACCCCATGCATGCAAGGTTCCTACACACCCATATGGTAACATCATGTCAAACACTTGCAAAATTACAGAATGACAATGAATTGGTGTTTAGAGCCACGGACTCTTAACTTGGGAACAGATGAACTAATCTTGAAGCTCTAACTAACATTCCTCCCTGGTACGTGCCTGCCTTGGGAAGTGCAGCTTTGCCTAGTCCCAGGATTCAGGATAGGAAAGTAAGGCAGAAAGGATAGGTTGACCATGCAAATGTACCCAGGTCTCCAGCTTGCTCCCACCCTTCTCTTGGCTGCTCATCACATCCTCCCTCATCTCAGAGTACACCTAGAAGGCCTATGAGAGATTGTTCACCTCAAGGGAGATTGTTATTCATAAAATCAAGAAATGTCACCAAAGCAAGTGGTGGAACTGCAATATTTGAATATTTCTCTTTTCCCTCCTCTCTTTTCCCCCTTAGTTTTATGAGTCTCATTTACATTGCAAAGACTGTACAGTTTGTTGTAAATCTGTGACCACAAGGGCAATTTGACATGCCCTAAACAGCCCAGGAACATGACACATTAGGCATGTCACAAGCAGGTGCTCAAGTTTTTCATAGTGCTCATGTATCCAGACTGAAAGTGCAAATCAGGCCCAGAAAAGCAAGAGTTACGCAGTCCATCCCTCCTTTTCTGCTGTCTTTTTTTTGTGATAGCCATCTCAGGGTACCATTTATGGCCACTGCCCTTGGATCAGCTGACAACGTTCGGAGGAATTTGGCTTCATCATCTTTGTAGCTATAGGCTGTGAGCAGATCCCCCCATTTGCCTCCTATCCGCCTGGCTCCCTCCATGGGACATGAGCCACAGACTCCTCCTCATCTTGGTGGTTCTCCTACCTTGGCAAACCTATTCACAATACGGCCAGTTGGGGTCGTGTCAAAGAAGCTCATGGGCACATGCAGGATGTTGCTGAGCAGCTTCTGGTGCATAACCCGGGAGGCTTGCACAGAACCATGGGCAGACAGCGTGGTTGCCATGAATAGGAAGAGAGCTGCAACGAAAGCACCAAGCAGTCAGTGGCAGCTGACATGGGACATGAAAGGCTTGGGCCTTGGCATTATCTCCATGTTAGATAAGGACAGTGACCTTCAACCTAAGGGGGCAACAGTCTTCTTAGGGCTGTTTACACTGGGGTCATGCTGATATCTGTCCCCAACTCAGCAAGAAGTGGGAGGGAAGGCTTCAGTGAGCAGATGCAGTGGTGGATACCGTGTTCCTTGCTGCACTGCTGGCTGTGGGCCTTGCAAGCCCCTTCCCTGCTGGACCATGTGGCTGAGGTGAGTAGCATCCCCTGTGTTCCCGCACTCACCTTGTGCTACCCCCAGTGCCCCAAAGACACCAATCCGCAGGTCTCGCTGCCCTGTAGGGTAGGTCTGGTTCAAGTAACGCTGCGCATCATCAGTCCAGTCACTGAGCCACAGGTTGGTGCCCACATAGGCAACATATTGTGCAAGGTAGCCCATGGCAATCCCGAAGGAAAACATCCAGCCAACAGCACGTAGGTATCGCACGTACATGGAAAACTTCACCTGTGAAACAGTTCAGCCCATCACCACCATCCAGCAAGCCACAGCTGATGACACCCCACACATGGCCTCGGGACCCCTTTCTCCCTGTCCATGGTGCTCCCCTCCACACATGTCCTCCCTCCACTACCCTGCAATGTGCCAAGCAACATGCCCACCCAGCCATGGCCGCTCTACCACCAGCTCCACACATGTGGACAAGACTCTCTCCTTTTGTGCCTGTTGGCTGCAATGGGACCTAGATAGCTGGTGATGGCTTTTGGGGGCCAAAGTCAGGATCTTGTAGCACTGAATCTCTTCCATCCTTCTCACCTTGCCAGTTTCCACAGTCTCTTTCTCAATCAGTTGCTGGCCTTTCAGCTTCTTGGGGGACTCCTTCTGGGCCTCCTGGAAGGACTTGGTGCTCCTTTTGCTGAGGCTGCAGGGAATGGGATTGTTGCCATTAGTTGCAGGACGCTGGATGACTCCCCCTCTCCTGGAAGTTTGTCCCATGCTACCCTGGCAAACCAGTGTCAAGAGCCCTCCAGGGAATACCCTGACCAAAGCAGCTTTGAGTGAGCTGTGGAAATCGTAGCCATTTCCAGATACGCAATCACAGTCCCCCACCCAGCCTGCAGAACCAGGAGTTTCAGGCAAGATTGCAGGGTGAGGCCGTGATACTCTAGTGTGGCTGAAGGTGGGGAACCAACCCACCTTGGGCTAAATATGGGAGCTCCCAACCCCTTTTATTCAGGAATCCCCCTCAGGAAAGCCTCCTGGAACCCCGTGTCCTGCAGTGCAGGAGGCTGGGGAGAGCCTGGCAAGCTCAGGTCAGGGTCCCACCTGCGACTGAACTCTCTCCGCTGGATGCTGGCCTCTCGCTTCATTGTCATGGTCACCACATCATCAGGTCCATCTTCCAAACAGGGCTCAGTGTCTTCATCATTCTGCTCTTCATCCTCAACTAAAGCAACAGCTATAGGTACAGGGGAGAAGGAGGGGAGAGTCAGGCACTGAAGAGAGAACAGATCCCACATACCACACATCTCTGCTGCCCTTGTGTCCTCTCCTCTAGCCCTGCACACCCCAGGCTCAGGCTGTGCCCTCCCCACCAGCAACACTGCAGTGATCCCAGCACAGTAGGATGGGACGTGCTGGGGTGCTGTGCTAGAGGGAGCACGGACAAGGGATGCTGGGCTAAAGGCCTGCACGGAGGCAGTCACTGCTGTTGATTCATTCCAGTGTCATTTCTGGAACCTCGCAGAGATTTGTGCTGGTTTAGCAAGTGCCAGACTTGGTAGGTCATGTCACTCCAGTTCAGGAGCATGCAGAGGTTAAGCACCTCTGAACATATGGGAGATGGGTCCTGCAGGGAAGCTGGGAATGACCAGGCTCCAGCATCATTAAGGAGCAAAGCCTTCTGCTAGGGAAATTATGGGAGCCATAAACATAAATGAATTTAAGAGACTCAAAACATCAGATAGTTCCTGTGGTAGCTAATTCAATGCAATGCCAGTACCTGCAGCCTTTTCTTCTGGAGTATCCTCCTGGAAACCGTAGGAGTTCAGGAACTGGGCGAATGCCCCCCTGTTCGCAAGCAGGGTGCTGTAGGAGCCATGCTCAGACACCGCTCCTGCCACCAGCACCACAATGTTATCAACCTGCGGCAGGAAACTGACACTGTGTGTCACCAAGATCCGTGTCTGCAACAGAGTGGCATGGTGGTTGCAGAGCCGTGAGCATCAGAGCATCCCTCTCACCCTACGCTGGGCCTGCAGGCTCCCCTTGCTCTTCTTGGGGACCCCTTAGCTCATCACTGCCCCGCTTCGGGGACCTATAGGACACCTTTCACTTATTTCCATCCCTCTGGAGACCCATGTGGACTCTTCTGCTCCTGCTGCAGCCCCACCTGAAGGCCTGCAGGACCCCACTTTGTTCCCAGAAAGCAGACCCAGCCTCTTCTACGTGGCCAACAGAACATCAGGCAATTCTTGCATGGTCAGTTCCTGGGGAGGAGGGTAGAAGCACTCACCTTGTTTTGCAGCAGCCCTTTTGGCCCCAGCACGTGTTCGAAAAGGTACTTGCCAACATGGGCATCCACAGCAGAGAGGGGGTCATCCAGCAAGTACACGTCCGCATTGCTGTACACCGCCCGGGCCAGGCTCACTCGCTGCTTCTGACCCCCGCTCAGGTTAATGCCCTGGAAGGGAGGGGATCTCTGTGAGCTCTCGCCTGGCACTGGGCAACGGCTCTTTCCTCTGCTCCATATCAAGAAAGGTCCTGTTAACAGGAGCCTTGGCATCCTCCCCCAATCACACCTTGTTTATCTCCCTGTTAGCCCATAAGTGACACCTGCCCTTTCTCCCAGGATGTGCACATCCATTTCTCCCTTCCTGTGCTCTCCCTGCCCCATATTTGCTTATCCCCTCATCCTGTAGTGTCCAGAGCCAATACCTTCTCCCCAATCTCTGTCAGGTCGCCTGCAGGGAGCAGTTCCAGGTCAGGAAGGAGGGCACAGGCCTTGATGACCTCTTGATACCTGGCTTCATCCAGTTCTGACCCAAAAAGGATGTTGTCTTTCAGTGTGGCGTTCTGGATCCACGCCTGCTGGGGAACGTAGGCCAGGGAGCCCTATGGAGAGATTTGGGAAAAGCTGCATGGCGGGAGCACCAGCCTGAAGACTACCACCTCCCACAGCCTTAGTCCCCTCTCTGGGATCAGTCTGGTCCTGAGCCAGGAGGCTATGGAGATGGACAGGGATCACTGTCCCAAGCAGTCCTGCCCTGCCATCTCCCTGCTCAGCTCCCAGCCAGCCCGTCGTGGGGCCAGCTCCTCTCACCTGGACGTTGATGTGTCCCTTGATATTCTCCATCTCTCCCAGCATGGCTGACACCAACGACGATTTGCCTGAGCCCACTGCCCCAACCACGGCCACCAGGCTCCCAGGGGTGATGTCCAGGGTGACACTGCAAAGACATGAGGGCCAAGTAAGCAATGCCAGCAGCCATGGGCTCCTACGTTGCCTGCATGGGACCAGAACAAAACAAGCAGAGCACCTCTGGAGGACTCCCAGCCAGGACTCACAACGAGTTGTGCACTGTCCTCCACAAACAACACAGTGAGGGACCAAGATTCCCTCTCCACACCCATGTGGCCCCCAAACGGTGCAGAGCACTCACTCTTTTATCACAGCATTGCCGTCCTGCTCCCAGGCAAACGTGGCATCCGAGAAACGCACAGCACTGCCTGTCAAAGAGAGCCATACCTCAGGGCTTGGTAGGCCCCCCATTGCAGCCAGCAGGCTCCACTCCAACCCGCCTAGTCCCCAGTCCCTGCATCCCCAACCCCAGCCCGCCTACACAGCCCCCTAAACCTCCCAACACAGCCCCTGACCCGGTCTGCCCAGTCCCTGCCCACCTCTGCACAGTGTGATTCCCTATTGCTGCGCTGCCTCCAGCTCGGCTTGCACTGCCCGTTGCAGAGAGGGCCTGCACAGCTGGACAGGCTGAGCCTGGTCTATGACACACAGGGACCAACCTAGACATTCACCTACCTGCAATGTGATCGTGGTGAATAGCTGAGGTATCCAAGTCTTCTCCTCCCAGGTACTGCTCCAGTCGCGCAGTGGACACATTGGTCTGCAGGAGCAGGGAAAGGGCATGTGGGCACAGAGCACAGCTGGGTGATCTGGCAGGAGCCCCATGAGCAGAGCACCTCTCCGCAGCCCCACATAGAGAGTCTCCACTCCAGCACCAGCCCCAAGATCTGAGCCCCAAGCCCATGCTGCATTCATGAGTCCTGTCAGATCCATTTGCCAACAGTTTTATGTATCAAGGCTGAGTGTCCAAACCCTAGGTCCATAATATATCTGAGCCCTAAACACTACATGCTGTTTTGGGCAGAGGTATATGAGTCATAAGACCCTCCCCTCCACCTCCTGCCCTATAGGGTGGCTGACCTGGACCAAAGAAGAGATGACCATGGGCAGCATGGCCATGGGGAAGCGTAGCACGTTGAAGAGGGAAATGGAAGTGAAGGCCTTCTGTGCATCCAGAATGTTGTTCTCATCCACTAGCACGTAGACGGCAAAGCTGGCGAGGGAGACCTGGGACAAACAACGTCAGAGAAAGTGCCATCACGCTGGCCGTGCAGCCCAGCCCCTGTAGCCCCTAAGGCCTCTGCAGTGCTCTCCTTTGGGGTGCCTCTCTCTAGGCCCTGTCTAGGTCCCTCCAGTGAGGATCTTTCTTTCCTATTGCTGTCCTGTCAGCAGTCAGGACCCATCTCTGCATGCTGGGCTTCTGTCATTCAGTCCCTCCTCTCCCCATTGCTGCACTCCAGCTGGGGTATCTGTTTTTTCCCACCCCCTTGGATACAGCCCTATTCCACCTCTGATGAAGGTGCAGACAGGGCATCCCCTAAGCTGCTGGCACTCACCAAGAAGGGGGCGCAGGTGAAGACGAATACGGATATTGACTGCAAATAAGAAAAATTCAGCAAGTATTTGAGCTCACGTCCCCGGATCTCCTTGATTCGATCCTCAAATGAGGGCTCCCAGGCAAAGAGCTTCAGGATCTGTGGAATGACCAGGATGAGCAGATGCTGGCATCACAGGAGCGTCCATCTCCACACTTGGCTCGCTAGGTCCCAGCACCAGCAGCACTTACTCCTGGCTTGCTCAGAATCCCGTTTGCCCACTGCATCTCTCCTGTCCCATCCTGGCCCACAATTCAGGACACTTCCCTACAGCATTCCTACTCCCTCATCCTCAGCTTACCATGTCACTTAGAGCCCCCTTGCCATCACACTCCCCATCACGGCTCTCCAGGAAATTCCCAGGAAACCCTTGCTTGGCCCAGCTATCCTCCTCAGTCAACCTTCTGCAAGATGAGGAAGCCAAGGGAACTGCAGGAATTGAGATCTGGCTATCACAGAGACAGCGTTCCCAAGCTAGACTGCAATGAAGTTGCTGCAGGTTGGGAAAGGGCATTGACTGCAGGCCCAGCATACAAGAAGAGAGGTACTTCAGGGAAAGGTCTCCCACCGCTCACCTTGATTCCATTGAGGATTTCATTCATTATTTTCATACGTTCATCCTTGTTCTTCATGTTCTTCACCTGGAAACAGAAAAGCCAGAGGTTATGGCTATGCTTAAGTCTGACTACAGCTCAGCTCACCCATGGAAGGCTCATCCAGGCTGCAAGAGGGAAGGAAGAAGTGAACTCCAAAAGCCAAAGGAGCCATTTCACAAATCTGGACTTTGGCGCCCTGCAGCTCTGTTGTAAAGTAAAAGCTAGAGCTAATATATTATTACTGGTAATATCTTGCTTTCAGGCCTCAAGGCTCTACTCAGCCCTGCCCAAGCTCAGCTGGTAGAATAGGTCTCACGTGTGTCCTGCTTACCTCACCCACTCATCATTCGCCACTCTGCTCAGCCTAAGACAACAGGTTGAGGGAACAGCAATAGGCCTCAGTAGCTGGGGAAGCAGAAAGGATCTTGCACACAACACTGACCTGGATGCCTTTGGCCTTCGTGACCAGAAACCCATTTATAGGGATGAGCAGCAGCATGACTCCAATGCCAGCAAGAACAGAAGGGCCGAGCTCTGCCCACAGGGAAATGATGGACAGGACAATCTGTAGGGGGCATGACCAGAGCTGGTGAAGGAAGTTGGCCATGTCCATGAACCTCTGGGCATCAGCGGACATCAAATTCACAGTTTCTCCCACTGTGGACTCTTTACGGGTGGTGCTGGATACAGTGAGTGCCTGGAGAGAGAGGACACAGTTACTATAAGCTTGTCTGGAACAGCCTGGATGCCAACAGCATTGCATGGAGCACGGAATCAGCAGGCCAGGCTGAAATTGCTCCTGGATTCCTCTCTATGAACTATGTGTGATCTCATCACTGCCTGCACATCAGCATCACTGGGAGCAAAGAACCACATCCCTTTGCAGGGATCTCTGGAATAGTTATCCTAAATCTTGCACCAGTGTGAACAGAAAAACTTCCCAGCCTCTGGAAGCCAACAGAAAAGCCAACAGCTGCAGCCCTAGATCCTGGGCAGAACTAGCACCCATGGTATCCCCAGCATGTGGCAAGTATCCCAGGTTGAGCTCTCTGCATGACTTTCTAGACACTAAATAACTTATTTCCAAGCTATCCCAGGTAGATGGGGAAGGCAAAGGATACTGGTATCCCCAGCCCACCTAGGAGGGAGCAGAGAGAGGTTGTGCTCTACCAACCTTCTTGTAGATGGCAGCCATGAGACTGGCACGCACAGACACGCCAAGCTGGAAGCACAAGTGGAAGTGCTGCTGCAGGCAGATAGACTGAACCAGCGCTACCAGGAAGAGCAGGATGGAGTACAGGTAGCCTTGCCAGGCAAAGGCGTCCGGATCTGACACAAAGCTGATCAGCAACCTGGGGACAGAGCAACCCATGAAACACTCACCCTACTAAGGCAGACCCAAGGAGGATGCTCCAGACCAACAGAGAGAGGTTCCTCACTGAAGTGGCTACAGAGCCTCTACTCAAACAGCTGATTCTATGCTCAGGGTTGCCTCTACAACCCATTCAAGGGAGATTGCATTTCATGTCAGATCATTCACAGGCACATTTGCAGTTCTGGAAAATACACCAGGCAGGTCCTGCTGGGCTAAACTGAATTGGCACATGGATGTGCCCAACAAGAGCTAGAGACATCTCTAGGGAGAGAACACATCTGCATGAAGGTGGACATCGGGAGCAGGGAACAAGTCTGTGTCCTTGGTGGCTGGGAATTAGCTCAGCTCTGTTCAGCTATTCATTAAACTGCAACCCAAGAAGTTCTAGCTTTGGGGGCGTGTGGGGGGGTGGGAAGTCCCCAGAGTGTAGGGTTGGGACATGCACATACATAGAGGTGGTTGGGTTGGGAGCTGCGCACACAGTGGTGGGGCTGGGTAATAGGCCTGGATAGAGCATAGACAGGGCAGGGGAGGAAGGACTCACTTCAGCAGCTGTGGGCTGACAAACACTAGTATATCATGCACCAGCTTGAAAGCCACTGACAGCAGGAGATTTTGCCAGAAAGTTTTAAACAGGGTTTTCAGCAACCAGCCTCTAGGAAAATCTTTGGAATCCCCTTTGGCCTTCTTCTTCTTTTTCTTTGTCTGCTTCTCCTCCTAGAAGGAAACCCACATGTAAGTAAAGGAGGTGAGATTGCACAGGCTTCTTCCACCTGAGAAGATGCTTCCAGGGCTATTCCCATAGCCCCAGGTCAAGCATCCTGAATGAGGCCTCCACTCATCTTCCTTCTCGGTGCTCACACACCAAACACCCTAAACACAAACACCCGCTTCCTTGATTCAGATGCCCTAAAGACAACCGATGCAATCCCAAGACCAGCCTGACCCCATAGGACCCAAAGTCAGGAACTTCAGAAAGATCTGAGGCTGGGGTCTGATAAAAGATGACTGTCACTCAGATCTCACTGCTGGGAGATACTTGGGGAAGGAAAAGAGATAAGGGAGCTGCTTGCACTGCAGACTTGAGGGTAGTTCTTGGCCTTGTGTAGGGCAGAAGAATTGAGACTTTCTTGGTCTCTCAAAACAAGAGGATCTTCTCAAGGCGGAGGAGACCGTATCATGGTCCCCCCGTCCCTGTCCATAGGCCTGCAGAACCAAAGTGGGGATAACTCAGCAATAGCACCTTCAAGGGGATGAGCTGACCCTATTCTGTATGTCATAGTTCTTTCAGTCTGACACAAGGCCAAAAGTAGGAAGGGATTTACCAGCACCAGGACGTCTTGGCTCTGGGCCTTGTTCATCTGGTTCCCAAGGTCTAAGTCACTTTCTCGGAGCTTCTTCTTGCGTTTCCTTTTCTCCATTTCTGCTTGGGCCTTTTTTAGCAAGGTCTTCATATTCTTATGCAATGCTGCAGAAATAGTCTTTATCTTGTCTTTATCCTTCAACTCCCAGAGATCTTCCATCTCCAAGGGCTTGCGATAGCCCTTAATAACCATGCTGTGGGGCACAGAAATCTGTCATCATCAAGATCTCCACACAGCCCTTATTGCCAACACTGCACCTTCACACCTTGATACCCCAGATGGAGGGAGGGGTATACCCCCAAAGTTGTATTCACACATCATGGTATGCCAGCTTTACTTCCCTCTCTCAAGCAGCTCCACCATTTCTCTGCCAGGAAAAACAGGAGTGACAAGTCACCCCTACAAGCTTGGCCCAATGCACCTAGTACCAGTGTGCAGCAAGGGATGAAGGATCTGAGTTTATGCTGCACAGACCACACCAAAAGCTCACAGCTCTCACGGCTACCACAAAATAACCTGAATGGTGGCTCACCCACGAGACACAGTGCCAGCCCCCATTGCACCCCTGCATTGCACCAACCCTGCTCACCTGGTGTACCAGTCAAAGGTGATGAAGCTCAGGAAGGAGGATGTGATCTCTGGGTTCTAGGACACAAAGCAAAAGGAAGTGGGTACCAAGGGATGGCAGGTGATTTGATGGCAAGAGTTGACTCAGCACCGCCAGCCTTGAAGAAACCTCAGAGTTTCCATCTCCAGCTGCAGGGAGCCCCATCCCAGAGTCAGAAAGACTCCATTTGGACACACAAGTAAGATGCTCCAAGCTGCAGACTCTGGCTTTTGCTGTGCACCCTGTTGAGGCCCCCAGAGCTGCCCTCATCCAGAGCTGAGGAGGAGTTTCTGCTGGGAACCCACCTGGGCCAGGCCAACCTGGAGCACCTCTACCATATCCCAGTCAATGCCAGCTGGGATGGATGGGTACCCTGAGCCCCTTACTCAATCCTGTTTGGACCTCGCACCTTTTTGGAGATTTCCTTTGCTTCTGCGGCGACATCTGAGAAGCCCGATATGAAGAAAAGTAGCAGCTGAAGTCCGTAAGAGATGTAGAAAAGGACAAATCGTGGCACATCGGAGATGGGGGCCTGCGGGAGTAGGAAGCTCAGCATTACTAATGGAGCCTGTTTCAAGGCCACCTGGGTCTAAGACCTGGAACATCCTCGAGACAGTGCAACCTCCCCAAACCCATTCTGGTTTAGCTCCTCTTCAGCCATCCCTCTCTGCTTCCCCTAGCCCTCCACACAGAGGTCCATAAGGAGAGAAATTGGTCACAAAGAGTTTATGCTTCCCAAAGAAAGAGGAAAAATTCAAAAAACAATTTCTCTCCAGCTCTCTCCTGGTTTCCCAAAGTCCCTGAGGTGGCTAAGACTTCAAGTCCTTCATCAGGGGCTTCTTAAGAGATGAAGTCAAAAGGGGTTTTCCTTGGGAACAGAATAAAACCCTGGGAAGATTCCCAGTTTCCTGCCAAACCCAACCTGAAGTGCTTTCCGGATGAGTGACTGGAATGGGAATATCCCACAGAGCAGGGACAGGATCCAGAAGATGAAAAGTATTCCTGAGTCTCTGCGCATGCAGAAGCGTCGTGCATCCTGGATCACGAGCACTAGGATCTGGTAAGAGAAAAACAAATTCGAAAAAAAAAAGAGAACACTGAGAGGACACCCAGGCAGGACAGCTGGACTGGCCTGAGCTCTAAACATTTGTCAGGGTCACATTCCCTGGGACATCAGCACATGTGATCCTCTCAGATTCACTGGCTTGGACAGAGCTCCTTGTTCCTGAATTCACTGCCAAGTCTACATGAGCTTCAGAGTCAATTACACAGGGCAAAGGTTTATTTTAAGAAGACATATGACCAGGCTCCTTATATGAAAGGCAAAGCCCGAAGGCACCTCAGCACTATAACAGCACAATATTTCTTGCTGGTTGTCCTCACCTGGGACTGTTACTCTGCCTGATGGAGCAGGCAAAAGGCATCACTCTGTCTTCTCAATATTGCCCCCAGACCAGGCATAACAGCCTCCCATGGAAGTCCCCACGGCTTAAAATGTCTTATATACAGGTGAAACCAACTGAAATGCCAAAGTAACAAGAATAGCAATCTGAGGTCTTGTTTTCATCATCTTTTATCAGTGCAGCTGCAGAATCGTATGATAGTGTTAGGACTGTTTTACAATGTCCCATATCTTAATGGAGATATCTGGTACATGCAAATCAAGCAAATAGGCTCTATTACGTCCTTAGCTTCTCGAGATTTGTGAGTAACATAGGTCACCAAAAAGAGCAACGAGGTGCTTTGCCCAGAGAAGCCCATGAAAACCAATTCTCTCTCTACGTACTTTCCACGTCCTAGGCAGTTTGTAGCCCTCTGGGGTCTCAGTAGCATTCTGCAGAGAGCCCAGACCTATAGCTCTATCCTTGCCCTTTCTTCAAAGCCTGGAGTTAAACTCAGACTCTGTGTGCTTCCCTGGCAGCATCTCTCACAGAGTTAGCCAAAATACCCTCCAGTCTCCTCTGTCTGCAAAGCAGCAACTGTGAGATGCCAGAGCAGCACAGCCTGCCATGAACTGATGCTTGCTCTGCACAGTCCGTCCTAGCAAGACTGTCATACGTTCTTCTCCAGAGAACAGAGACGTTCTACATTTCTTGCTAGTCTGGACGCTGAGCTGTATGTCCAGTTTCTGGGGTTGCCCCCATCGCTTCCTAAAGAAGCAGCCAAGTCCTTTTAGATGTATCCCCACATTCAGCAACTTGTCTACCACGTTGCCTACAGCAGCGCACAGCACTCCCAGTGCCCCATCCTGCCTTGTCTGGGCCCTTCCTCCAAGCGGGAAGGTTACCAAAGCTCAGCAATGCTCAAGGTGCTGCTTGGCCCTGCACTCTCACACCCTGTCTCTACGGTGACAAGGCATTTCTCCAGATGAGCCCTTACCCAGGTGGCAATGTACAGGCTGGGGTTTGTGTACTGGACAGGCAGAGGATGTTCGTGCCTTGCTTCCTCAGCAAATGTCAGTGCCAGCTCCGCCACTGCTGTCAGCAACAGCAATACTGCCAGCACCTGTGGAGAAGGAAGCATCCATGAGGAGAGACTCAGCCCATCAAAGCACCACCGGGAGACAACACAGTTGTGGGGAGCAGCTTTGAGTCCCACATACTGTTACATTCTCTCCAACCTTATCGAGCCTGGGAAAGCTTTCTAGGTGCCCCTGCAGCACTTCCATACGAGCACTGCCATCATTTCAAGCCTGGAGCACAGCAGCCCATTACAAACCACCAGGTGGGAGGCCCCGACACACACCTGAGCCCACCCTCCAAGAGTATCCCCTACCTCATCCAACACACTTCTTTCCGACCTACCTGTAGTCCTTGATACCAGATGGTGCCCATCTCATTGCTCCCTCTCTCCAGCACTTCTCATCTCTCCATCTCACACCCACCTCCATCTCTCTCTGCTCACCATTCCTCCACCCCACACTGCCCTAGCCTGCTCTCCATTCTCCCCAAGCTCCACTCCACCTGCTTGATGATGTAGAGTTTGGTCACAGATGATTTCTTGGTTTTGTGTTTGCACATGGGCAGGAGCTGCCAAGGACCAAAGATCCAGAGGAAGCCGAGGGGGATCCAGACCAGCACGGTCTGCTGGAAACAGACCGGCAGGTCGGCATCTGCATGAGCAAGGAATGAGGAGTTCTGGGGGAAACAAGGACAGACAGTCAAGTAGTTCAAATCTGCCCAACCCTCACCTCACTCACAGAAGACGACCCAGCGCTCCTAAAGCTCCTTTTCTCTTAATTTCCAACTCCACTACATGCCCCTCAACACCCACCCTCCTGGCCTTGGCTGAGCATTTCAGCCCCTACCAAAGGTCCCCCTTCTTGATCCATCTTCCCACAACCACCAAGGGGTCAAGACAGCTGGAAAAAGCTGCAAATAGCTGCAAATAGCTGGACTCTCCTTAGAGGCCTTTTGAGGGTACCCTGCCTTTGTAAGGCAGGACAAGGCTCACTTAGTGAAGTACCATTTGGATCATTGTAAATCGGATCCCACCCAGGCTGCCCTGTTAGCGAACAGTGCTCAGTACCGGGTAAACCTTGGCACAAACAGCAGGACCGATGCCTGATACTGGCTCTTGGATCTACTGGCTAAAGAAGCCTGTTCTTCGAGCCCTGGGATTTAATGGTCTCCCTCTTTGCCAAGCGTCCTGCCCCGAGGATGGGTGATCAGGATTAAACGCAACCACTCACCCAAAAGACGGAGCCGCAGAACTTATCCAGGGCTGAGGACATGACTCCAGCGAGAAGAGACAGCAGCTCCTTTCCCTCGCTCTGCCTAGTTGTGATATTCCTGGGTAGATGTTTGGGATAAAAGTCCCCCCACGCCCACTGCTGAAGTTGCAATAAGGTCCCTGATGACAGGCAGTTAATCGTTAACCTAGTGCTATTGTACAACACCGTAGACCACAGCAGTGACCAAGCAAATTTGGCAAACTACAGAGGTCCCAGAGTGGGGAGGAAAGGAAGGTCCTAAGTGGTTCCAACAGAGAGATGCAAGAAAGCTGCTGCCACGGGGACATTGCAAGACATAATAGCCACGACTCAGAAATCACAGCCTTCACCAGTGCACCACAAGACAGGTTTGTGTTGATCCACAAAAGACAATCTACTTGGGTGCAACAGCTCATTCTTGACAGAACAAGCCTGCCAAATACTGCCAAAAAGCCAAGCAAAGTCTAGACCTCCAGGTACCATGAGGACAGTAACTCACGTGCCGCTCACCCTCACAGGGATGCCTGGGCCGCCAGCAGAGATCTGGATACAGTGACCTGCTAAATCAGGCAGCTGAGTTGACTTCACGCTGCGGTGGTCTTTCTGAGGCAAAAGTAGTTCCTTTCATCAGCTTTTGCTTATCCGTACAGCCTGGGGGTTTTCCCCTCTCTCCCCGTCTCTTCACCCTTTCCCATGTCTGTGTTCACAGAGCTTGAAGCTGCATGTCATAGCAGCTGGCTACATGCAAAGCCAAGAAGAGACTTTTAAGCTTCATTTTAAGGCAAATCCTTGGTCTGGGCAAGTCCTTAGTCAGAGGACCATTGCCAGGGAGGATGGCTGTCACTGAATTGCCACCCTGAAGCGTAGAAGGGCAGAGGGACGACAGCAGGGGCGGCTGCTATCCCAAGGCTGGTACAGTTTGCTTTCTTGGGGTAGGGGTAGGCACTTTGCTTTTGCTGCCATCTCCCCCACTCCCCACGCTGGGAGGATTCTGCTGTCTCATTGCTAGCATTGATACTATGTAGCTCAGAAGTCAAGAGTGATTAAATGATTAATTGCTCAGGAATGATCCCCTTGCTATCAATAGCAGAGGAAGGTGCAAAGTTCGGAGACATGATAATGCTGAAAGCTCGTAGGTTAATAATTATCAGCTTGACTGATTAAATCTGCTTGAATTTTCGTAAACAAAGCTGTTCTAGCTCCTGGGCCCTCCAGGTCAGAGCCACGACAGTGCTGACGAGATCAGCAATCTGAACTACGAGGCAAGACACACATGAATGAAGCGGTCTCTCCCTCAGCTCCTCTCCATCCAGACTCCTGACAGGAAGTCGGGAAGTCCCCGAGAACTATGTCCGCATTCCTGCTCTTTCTTCACTACCTGCCATGGGCTGTCCTCTCAGTCCAAGCCACAGCCTGAGATCTACTAAGGTCCAAGCCCCTAGAACTGGATATTTCGTCAGACCCAGCATCTAGGCTGCACATTACTGTTGGAAACAAGTGCATCCAAGGCTCCTTTCTCTCTGCCCTCCTGCCTGGGACATACTCTACCTCAACACTCACCCAGCCCCACTTTCAATCCCTTCCACAAAGGTTCTTTTCATACAGTAGCTATAAAACATTTATCAGGACCAAGCTAATCAGTATGGCGAGACCTCTCTTAGCCAATAGCACACTGTTTCCCTGTGCCCCCTTGTCTTATCCCGTTTGTCCTATCACATCTTTAAATTTAAGTTTTCAAAGGCTGGCATTGCTTCTTACCTGTCTTTCTGTGGGTCTGGACCAAGATGGAAGCTTCTACAGTGCAAATTACAAGTTAGTTGAGCCTGGACTGTTCACCTCTGTTTCTAAGGAATTCATTTCTCTACTTTGCTCAACCGTAATTCCATTTAGTTTTTTTTTTTTTTTTTTTTTTTTTTAACTTTACATAAATGGAAGAAATCCCAACTCTTCATAAGTCTTCCAGGCTGTATCAGCATTATTTTCATGTTCATTGAGTTACATATATCTTGATCAACTTCATGACTCACAAAAGGTCACAACATAAGCCCTGAACTCTCACATTAATTCATGTGGACTTGATTGACTTCAACCACCAATTAAGTCATTTCCTCTTCTGAGCCTGAATGCTGCTGATTGCTCATTAATCACGATTGAAACAAGCACCACACTGAGCTGGCATTTCCCCCACAAGTCCTGTATTAAGAAGCAGCATGTTTTTTCTTTGATTATTATTCAGCAATAATTTTACAACCCTTTTGTACACATTTCCACGGAGCTCAAGTCCCACCATAACAGAAGGCTTACCCACTTCTAACTCAGGTCCCAAGTAATTCCTCTTTCATTTTCTGGGCAGCTTTGGAAGTCAAGAAGCAGATTCCAACAAACCTTCGCACTTATTAAATTCCAGCTAATACCAGCAGGCTGCAAGATTAAAGGTGCTCTGTCTCTGGGCCTTCATGGATCCTGACTCTTTTAATGGATACTGCTCAAATCTTTCATCAGATATTTTGCAGGATAACTGAATTGAGCCCAAGGTTATGCTTCGGACTAGGAGCAGTAGCCCAACAGCTACGCTCCCCTGAGCACTGTCCAGAGCACGATCTGTGTTTCGCATTACAAAATGAGCAGGAAACTCCCTGCAAAAAGTACCTTTTATCCTACAGAAATCTCCACATGTCCATCCCACCTCAAGCACTCAGTCATAGCCCGTGAGGCTTCAAAATCAACTCACCTAGTCGGTCAGGTAGTTAGAAGTTCTTTTCCATCAGAGCTTGGTGTGTTAATCATCTCCACATACGAAGGAGAATATGAAGAGCTGTCGGACTGGCTGACCACAGCAGTCAGTGTTTTCCAGCACTCTGGACATGACTGTTTTCTGCTTTGCTGTGGTAGGTCTGACTATTTCAGTGCCCCCACGTCTGCCTCTTGCTTCTGCTTGGCTGCATTGAGGCTCTCCTGGGACAAGAGTTTGACTCATGCATTTAGCTCAATGCTTGTTTGCTACTACCTTGTTCTTGGGAAGTGTTTCTCTTCCCTGTGTAAACTGTCCCTCATCTCACAGATGAGCCCATCAGGACTTTCCCATTCCCAATGTACATCTAGAAGCAACACCAATATTGTACTAGGCTACACAACACAACTAATGCAGTTTTACTTGTAAAAGAGAAACAAAACAAACACAGGCAAAGGGGAGCAGCTGCTGCAGTGTTTATTTGACAATCACATGCAGTGCTACACAACTCTGTCCCCCTACTTGCTCAGCTCCCTTCCTCCCCAAAAGCTGCTGAGCAGCTTGTTGGAGCAACATCCAGAAATGAGTCCTTTGAATTAAAATGGCCAACATCAGGTCTTGAGGCCAGGGACTGGTCGATCAGGGGAAGGCAAGGGATGAGATGTCAGGCTTCACCACCCAGTTCATGTCCTTTGGAGCCTGAGGAGGACCCGTCTGTCCACACAGCAGGGAAGACTCTGGAGCCTCAGCGCTCTTGTCCCAGCACGATGCCGTCTGCTACAGGATGTTCTTTGCAATGGCATTGAGGGTTCTCACCTTGGCCACATCTGCCACCTTTATGGAGTATTCAGGGGCGGAGAAGGAGGCTCCCATGGCAACGTTCGGATTTCTGTAGGAAACAGGACTGATTACTATCTGAGAGCGATAAAGACAGTTAGATAGACTAAGGAATAGCTACTGTCTCCCTACGCTCAGTGGAGGCCACAGAAACTGCTGCTGCCACCTTAGACCAAAGATGAGGCAGTAACAGAAGGAAGAGTAAAGGTGAGGTAGTAGTAGTAGAGAGAAGAATTATCCAGCAACAAGAAGCACCAGCATCAACAAAACCCATTCCCCACTCCTCACAGCGGTACGTCCCGCAGGTCTCCCAAATGCCACACAACCAATTTACAGGTCTGAGGCAGCAGCACCAGAGCCTGTCTTACCAAGTGCCACACAAGTGCACTCATGAGCCCCTGGGCAGCAGTACCAGAAGAAATGCCCCGGGGATCCCGTTCTGCACGGAGCTCGCATGTCCAGGTGATGAGCACCGCTGGATCTGTGCACTGCAGAACACAGAGCCAGGCATCACGATCCCAACCACAAGAGGAGAGCGATCGGCGCTCAGGAGGAGGCTGGGAATTTATGTCTCTTCTACAAACCCAGCTCTGCTTAATCCAGCTTTTCCACCATACGATTCTGTTAGTAGAAATATTCCATTACCTGAACTTCATCCCTGAGTCCCGGACTGAGCGAGCAGAGCAGTGAAACTCAGATGCACCAGAGCCTTCCAGAATCCTCTGCAGGTTGCGCTCCGTGATGCCCCCGCCTGGCAGGAAGAATCCATTTACGTCACACGCAGCACAAAAGGCAGCAGTCACATCCCCAGCATTACCCCTTGGATCCAGCCCATAAAGGAAACCCTTGGGACAACAGAGACCCAGGCAACTGAAAAGAGCTGGGAAAGTTTTGGCTTCTCTCATTAATCTAGAACTGTCTCTAAAACCTCCAAGGAACAGCAGCCACGGGGCTCTGCCACCCCCAGCCAACCACACTGCCTTTACTCACACAGGGCTGTGTCTCCCCAAGGACCCGGGCTGGGAAAGCCAAGTCACCAGGACCAAAGACTATTGAACCTGCTACATGTGACAAAAAAAAAAAAAAAAAAA